CCCGTGGTTGTTTGCCCCTGGGGCGTCGTCGCCGTCCTGCCGCCGCCGCCTTCGGCCGGGGGGAGTCCTTGGGGCGCGCGGCTGCGCCCGAGCGAATGGCGGAGCGGCGCGCTCCACGGGCGGGCCGGGGCACGCTGGTGATGAGAGCGCCCGGGGGAGCATCCGGGCCTTTGTGGCTTCTGCCTAGGGGGCGCGGCCGCGGCACTGCCCGACGAGGAAAGAAAACAAGCTCCCTGGATAATGGTCGCCGGCCGCGCCCGGGCCGGCGGCGGTGGGCGGGGCCCGGGCCGATCGGGCAGATCTCCTCTCTCTCTCTCTCCCTCTCTCTCTCTCGCTGGGACCCGGGGCCGGTCGGGCGGGCGGTGGGGCTGGGGACGGGCCCGCAGCTCGAGGAAGGGGGAGATCGGCCCCGGACGGGGCGCGGCGTCGCCTGCGCCAGTGTTATTCTTTTGCCCTGTTCCCTGCGGGCGCAGGCGGGCGCCGGCGGGCGCGCGGGCAAGCCGGCCGGGGGGGGGGGGGGGGGGGGGCGCCGATCGCCCCTCCGCCAGAAACGGCCGCGTGAATCCAGCCCACGGCAGGGCGCGCCCGGCCACCGCCCCCAGGACGCATTCCTCCCCCTTCGTCACCGCCCGGGGGCCAGGGGGGGGGGAGGGCCGCGAGCAGGCTCGCCCGCCGGCGTCCGGGTGGGGGGACATGTGCGGGGAGCCCCGCCGCGCGCGGCCGGGTGTTTTCCTCGTTCTCGGCCCTTCCCCTCTATGTGTGCGTGTGTGTGTGTGCGCGCGCGTCTCTTGGCCGGCCGCGCCCCTCGCGAGATGCGCCCACGCGCGCCCGGCCGCGATCTGCCCCCTACCGCCGGGGCGGCGCCGGCGCCGGCGCCGCCCGGCCATATCTCCCCCAGGCGCAAGAGTTTAGAGGGCCACCCTCAGGTGCTCCCTTGCCCCGGGGCCCTCGGTATCTCGCGTCTGTCCTCCCTGCCCTTCCGCTTGCCTTCCGCGCCCTCCCCCCGGACGACCGCCTCCTCTTCCCCTCCCCCC